CTAAACACATTCCAGGCATCAAAATCATGCCAGGACTCCTCGTTTTTCTAACCCCAACCCTACCCTGGTGCACCCCCCTAGCACTAATATATGAAAAAGTTCCATGCATAGGCGCGTGATTTTGAAAAAAACCTTCCTCGAGTAGCCTTTTCTGCACAAGTCAACATTTTTCCCCATTCTAAACAAATTTTAACTGAGCTCTGAATCGTTCACAGTTATAGTCGTTCATCAGACGAGTCACCAGTGTAAACGGGACAGACTGAACCGGACTGTGAAAGGCCTTCCTTTCCTCGCATAACAGTCGCTTTGGCCAGCGTATGGCAACCATTTAATTTCCCGTATTTGAGAGGTTAAATGGCTAAATTTGGTTTTATTTCGACAATGCGGATGCACATTAAATTTAATTAGAGTTGCTTAATTTAACTGGAAGAACATCTTTTTGAGACTTAGCCATTCCCACACAGAATTTATAACAGAGAAACTGTGTTAGCTTTTGAATGTTGCAGGACATTGAAAAAACGGCAAACAGAAAGACTGTTGTAGTTTTGAAATATTTGACTGAACAACAGAGAACGGAGTGGAACATAGGAGAACAGTAATTTGACTGAAGCCATCTGGATAATTTTTAATGTAAAATTATGAGAATAAAATATAAAAATAATAAAATATTAATTTATTTAATATAAAATGCATGTATAAATATAGCATTTGGATACGAGTCTTTTCACAGGCTCAGTTCTGACACGAGCAGCCAGTTGAAACAAGATTATGAATGCTAGAGACCAGATTTTTCTTAATTCTAGGAACTAAGTGATCCTGGGCATTTAACTTGCCGTGTAACCCTCAGCTCGGCCTGCTTGTTTCTGAATGAAGCCCAGAAGCCAGCTTGTTGCATCTCCAGTCTGTTGTTTGACCAACTGCGAGTTGCTTCTATGCCTTATATTTGCCCTGCTGGATTGACCAACCTGCTCTTCTGTATGGTGTTTCCCATGGAGGCCAAGAAACCCACAAGCAGAACGTGAGGTCAAGAACCCTTTCCCACTGTTTCCATCATTGCAACTTGTGAAAAATTGCTTTGTGAAAAAGTTATTCCTTTAATTCTCAGTATTCATCTGTGCTTGGTAAGTCGAAATGTAATATTATGAGAAGAAGAGAAAAATGTTTCTTTCTCTTCTTGCATCATTTTATGCAGCTCTCTCTTCTGATGTTTCCTCATGCGGACTTTTCATTGGTGCCCCTTCCTCTTTGGAAATTTTCTTCTTTGTCTTGTCCTTTACCCTGGTCAACCAGGTGTATTTTGGACTTGATCGTCTTGTGGTCATGATTTCAAGTTGGTTTGGCAACGCTTACAACTTGAATCAGGGGGTAGGTGACCACCACTTCTCCTCTTTTTGGGTTGGTTTCATGAAATTTCACCCCTTTGTCATGTCAAAAAGCATCTGTCCAGCTGGGGAATGGGTAACCGACGTCCCCAGCAGTAATCCATTATTCTCTTGTAGCGAAAATAACAGAAATAACCTCAAAGACATAAAAATGTACTACAGCATAAGTTTTTGTAGACCAGATGGCCTTCCTCATCTGCTACTTGACCCAAGAAATTAATCCTGCTACAAACAGAGAACAAACCCACAGATGTTATTCACGCTTATTAAAAGTGAGATGGATGGAATTTGAGGTTGAATAAATCGCAAACTGAGGGTTTGGCCCGCTTTATTGACTCCCCAAAGTAAAGCTGGAATTGACTCATGTTTGTGGTAGATCAGGTTAATACATAACAGCATTTTCCATTGTGCATCTGCCCTGGGGGTTTGTTCTGTATTCTGCAATCGATAGTTCTCAGTCAAGGTCCCAAGGCACTTCCCTCTCATTTGCATATTTCCATCAGTTTATTTGTATTATTCTAGAGGAGGGATGGGGGATGGGGGAAATCTGTGCTCTTTTCAGCACATTAATGCCTTCGTTATTTTGACAGACCAGATGTTTTTTGAAGGGACTAAGCATCGTACAAACTCCCCTTTGCATGCCATATTTCTGATTCGGTCCTGGATCAGCCAAGTTGTCCGTATTTTTCTTCTCAGGAAACTAACTCGTTTTAAAGTCATTGATTGTGGGGAACAGCATGCCAAGGAAGTGTTATTTATGAAGGATGGGAAATCCCCAAGAATGTGGGAAGAAGGGTGGAGATGGAGGAATCGAGGAAAGGAATATGCAGGCAAAGGGAAAAAATGCAGTATAGGAATACAGCGGATATCTTTCTTCTATGGATAACGTTCCTTAAGTCTTGGCTTGATTATACATGGCACAGGAGGTGGAGGGCAACGAGTTTGTCATCCAGTTGATTTTTTTCTCCTTACCCCAGGGTTAATAAATCCTTCATTGCATTGATGACCTCTTGAAGGATATAGCTGGGAGCATTGAACCATGGTAGACGTGCGTTTACTAAGGTGGGCATAGACAAGGGCTAAGGGAGTCTCCTGGGGCCCTTTGCCGCCATCTTGATTTGCTCCCAACATCCAGCCTCCCATGGCCTGGACACAGTGTTGACCACCTGGATGTTCCCTTCTCCCCGCAGCCCATTGTGAGCCCCCAAATCTGCACCATAGGGTCCCAGGACCCCTCTGGAGAAGATGTAGAGGAGCAGCTGAGAGAAGAGCAAGGGGGAGTACAGGCAGAAGTCTGATTGATCCCCATGACTCTTAATTGTCTTAGCTCATTGTGATGGAACAGCTGATCCCAAAGACCTCCCTGTGTGCAGTCTCTTTCTGCCCACAGTTGGGCCTACTGATGATGTGATGCTGGACATCTAAAAGGAATGGGTTAAAGATCCCTTTGCAGCTTGGTTCATGGGGTCAAAATTGCTGTTGTTTGACCATTCCGCAGTTGGTCACTCCAACTGGAGGGCAGGATGCGTTCCAATGGAGCAAAGCTCAGGGAACCAAGATTTAGGGTGGATGCCAGGAAGTACTTCCTGATGGTTAGGACCCCAAGGGTATGGAATGGGCTTCCACGGGAGGTGGATGAAGCCCCATCGGTGCGGATGTTCAAGGATAGGCTGGACATGCACATGGTGGGCATGTCATAAGTGGAGCCGGCTGGAGCTGGGGGTCAGACTAGATGGCCCAGGATACCCCTTCTGACTTGCTGTTTCTGTGTTCTATGTTCTTATTTAGAGCCCAGAAACCAGTATAGATGGTACTTTCTGCATGAAGGTGTTAATTTCTGTTTTGTCACAGCATTGAGATTTTAGCTCTGCACCAAGTGCTCTTACCCACCTGCTTTTCCACAACATAACCCCACCATTGACACTATGAAATAACCAAATAACTCAGGCAAGGAGAAAGCACAGTTTTTCTGTTCTAGTGGAAGCCCTCATTTTCCTGCTCTAAAACTAAACCAAGGAAAGGGCTCAGGGAAAATAGAAGTGAAACTGGAAGTTCATAGAAGTGTCATCTGAAGAGTCCGCAGATAATCATAAGTGCCTTGTGTCTCTCATCAAGCAAACATGTTCAGGGTGTCAACTTTGCTAAGCAGGAAAGGCTAGGGCCCACAGCGGGATGGGTGACCATATGTGGAAGTAGAGCAAGGGGTTGGACTGGATAGCCTTAGAGATCCCTTCTAACTCCGCTGCTCTGCTTCTTTTCTGTTCTAAAAGCTTGTGGTCTACGCAGCCAGAAGTAGTGAATTAAGTTGGGACCAGTGGTAGGCAATCAGACGTCCTCCAAAAGTTCTGAACTACAATTCCCATAAGCGTCTTCCTCATGTGGATCTCAAGGAATACTTATTTGTGGAAGCTGTGAACAGTGCCAGCTCTTGGGATTATCCTTTTTGGACCAGGTGGTTACTGTTTTTTCAAGCATGCGCAGAAACAGAGTAAGAACTACCTATCTAAAAAGGATTTGGTCATGGTCTTTTGATTCCCTCTTGCTTTATGTGTCAGACAGACAGTCTCATTGCATATAACCATGAATTCTTGCAACTGACCAGGGAGAAAAGAGGAAAAAATGAATGTGTGAATCACACTGACTCAAACAAGGCTCTGTCAAACGTTCTTTGGACTGAAGAGCGAAACCCTCCAGAAGCAGCATACAGTTCCCAAAATATAAGTGCCATAAGATTTGCTATTTGTGGAGTTCCACATCTACAAAGACCCTGAATTGTGAGAACATTTGCATACCGCCTGTTCAGATAAGAGGAAGGCATGGTCTGAAGGCATAAATCTATAAATGCTTTTCTCAACTTAAAAAAAGGAACTAAAATAGTAAGGTGTATCTCTCTCACACTTAGAAAGGCGCTTCTACCTACAAAACCCTGCTGGGGGAATAATTTCCAAAGCTTCCTTAGGATTTATTTACTTTTTTTACTATATTTTTCCTTCCAAGGAATGCAAGGGAGCCTGCATCAATCTCCTCCTCCTGCTTTCAATCTTATCCCCACAACAACAACCCTGTGAGGTAGGCTGGGCTGAGATTCTGTGGCTGACTCAAAATCTCCCAGTGGCTCCATGGCTGAGGGCAGATTGGAACCCAGCTCTCCTGAGACCCATTCCCACTTCCCCTCATTGGTTCTCAGTATCCTACAAATCCTATAAACAGAACTCAGCTTTAATTTTCGCTTTCACTTCACTTAAATAAAAGTGAAGTATTTTTCTTACTAGGCAAATAGGGTGAGCTTACTGTGCTTCGTTTGCACAGATCTTCAGAGTGTTGTACCAGCAAGGAGAGCAGAGAGAAATGGACATACCTCATAAAAATGAAGCACAATTTTTTGGTTGCTGGTTGGGTGGCTTGTAAATTTAAAGAAGTTGAAAGTTTCTGTTTTTTAATGGGTTTGTCTAGGGAAATGGTTCTTAAATAATAAGAAAAGTGCAGTCCTGGATAATGCTTTTTTCCTCTTTCTTTTTTCAGATAATGGGTCTGGATCAGGAGAAGGAGGTAAATATTCATTTTCTTTATGATCATACGTTTGAATGCTGTATTGTGTCCTGAAATGTTCATTCACCATGCAGAAAAATGATTATGTACACAGTTTTTCCGTTGCATGGGAGAGGAGGTCTTCTAAAAGTTTTTGTGCAATTCATCTATTTCCTAGAAAAATGCCATTCAGGTGGGTGGATTTTTTCAGGTTACTGTCGAGCTGGAATTAAGCATCTTGACGGCAGACTAAGCCTATGCTTAACTCACTCCGATTAATAATACCAGTCGGACATAAAAGTTCTCACTTGCGCGTGACTCAAACCTTTGGCTTTTCTGTCAGTGTTGCAGCAATGACACACACTGCGTTAATGTGAACACAAAGGTCATCGAGTGTCCAAGCAAAATACTGCTGGGGTATTTTGTTTGAGGAGGAACCGTAGCAGAGTAGAGAAACAAGTTGGGGTTCAGTCCTAGCACCTTCATTTAAAACAAATCTCACCTTTGTGCCTGTCCTTGGAGAAACTCTACCCGATATAAAAAACTCTTGGAAAAATGTACTTAGTCGTTTGCCTTAATGTAAGTCACCAGTTCAAAGATTTCTAAGGAATAATTGGATGCTTGGTGCGGGTTCTTTCTCCATGCCTTTCCATACCTGGGTTCATTCTCCCTTCCTCACTTGAAAGCTGTAGCTGTATTTGCACCTGACGCCGAAGAAGGCAGGCCATGAGGGGCTCCCTAGGAAAGACCGCAAGCAGAACCCCTCTCGCACTCGAGGTGCATTTGTGTGTGAGGTGGCCGGTTGCACAGCCAGTGGCCTCCAGCATCTAACAGACGTCCTCTCAGCTTGGCTCGCTTTGGAAGACCAGCAGGGTGCAAGAGGAAGACCAAGAATCCTTGGAGGGGCAGTAAGGTCCATCCCAGCCCTACCTGTCTGCTCCAACGTACAAGGAGGGTGTGGAGTGAGCTTTGAAGGGCATGGTTGGGTTGCATAGATAACCTTCTGGCTGTTGTGATGCTTTCAAGTAAGGCTTTTACTGGGCTACCACCTCACCTCATTCATGGATCCAGACACAATCATCTTTCTTTGGTAACACTCTTGTTTTTCCCTGCAGCTTATTCCATTCTTTTTTTTTCTTTTCCAAAAGATCCTCTGATGAAAGAAAGAAAGGATAGCTGCACAATAGTTCACACAACATCCAGGTTTGAGAATGGGTTGCCACTGAACCGTGCGTGGTTGTGTTATGTGAGTCCACTTGTGCTGTGGTGGCAAGCTATGTTTCACAACCCAGCAGCAAACCATGGATTCTCTTGGCGGGTTGTTTGTGATTAACAAAGCTTTGTTAGCGTGCAGCTCAACAGCCCAGCACAACAACGGTCCATACTCAAGCTGGAGTATGGGTTACTGTGTTGTGTGAACCCGGTCACTGTCTTTTGAGTGGCATTCAAAAGGAGCCAGTCAGTGTAGAAAACACTGAACTATGTGGACCTGCAATACACTGTTGCATTCAGCTGGATCATCAAGATCACCTGGCTTTGCCCAGGTGCTCAGAGATGGGGCTGGGCAACCTTCCAGCTTTATGGGATCTACTTTGCATTCTTTCCAAGACCCCAGAATTCACCAACTAGATACTCATGACATTCCCCTAGAATTCAATAAATTCCGTGAAAAGCTTTTGTTTTGAGTACCAAAACTAAACAAACCCTTCTACGCAACCATCTGCTCCTGCGTCTCCCAGTCTTTCTTCCTTAGAGGTGTATAATTTGGGCAGTGGGTATTTTGTTGCTACTGTCGCTAAGAAAACTGGGAGTCGGGAATCTCTGCCATTCTACGACAGATCAGCTGGAGATCTTCCAGTAGTTCTGGATTTACCTTCTGCTCACTAGTTGTTCCAGGATCATTGGCCTTGAAGGGGAAAGATTCCACCGATCATTCCTAGTCTCTTCAGGGCTGTTACCCAGATAGCCATTCTGGGCCGGTGGGTACATATTACTAAACCACGGATTAGCATGACATAGAAAGTTCTTAACGAATTCGCCAGCCCATCTCTTTTCTCCTTCTTCAGAGGACAACCTCAGCATAGCTTAGTTTCAAACCGGGCACCTTGGCTTAAAACCAACTAGTCAGTTGCTAAACAAGCCAAGTTCAAGCCGTAGATTTCAAAGCTGGCTTATTAAACTAGCTAGAGTTTCTTTTAAAACAGGGTTTCTAGGTTGAAGGCAGTGGTAGGAAGATGAAACTAAATTCTGACAGTGTCCTTTGCCCTGCTGGGACCCTGAAAGTCTTGACACTTCCAGGTTGGCTTCTGCAAGTTCATCCATGTTGTTGTAAGCCGTGATACCGCATAACATGTGAACCGACTCCAGAACCATTCAACAGCCCGAGAGCCTGGCAAGGACGGCCTTTGTGGTTTCCCCGGCCATGTTCCTCTGTCCCCCTTTTGCTCCCTTCCCACCCATCTGGCATCTGGGGGGTTGAAGGATGAGGCCAGCGGAGAATCCGGAGAAGCTGCCGCCGCCCGCGTTTTACAGATGCTGGGCTGCATTGCTGCAATTTGAGCTGGCGGCCCTTGGTGTGCGTCTTCAGTAGAACGACGCCTGATTGCCGTGCCGCTTGATTTATTTCTCTTTCTGTGTAACTCTACCCACAGCATGTCCTTATTTACCTAAACAAAGTTTGAATTAGGTACTTAGAAAATATCCCAGATTTAATTGCAGGCAGATGGTAATTGCTCAGCCCAGGCTTTCAAGCTGGGGAAATGACATGCTTGCCATACAGATAGTCCTGTTAATTATTATTGAAATAATTTGTTTCTGATTCCCTCCTTATGAAATTTGGTTTCTAAAGGATGGTGGTGAGGAGAGTCTCTGGCAGATTGTTTTTAGTAATTAATGCCTTGATAATCAGCATGTGTAATTCAGCTGACTGCCATCTGTCTGTTAGACTCAATGGGTCCAACAGTTCCTTGTGGATGCTAAAAGTTTAGATTGACATATTTCTAAGACCATCTATTTGTCTGTCCGTCCATCCGTCCATCCATCTGTCCACCCATCTGCCTATTCACAGACTCACACACACGCACCCACAGACAAATTTGAAATGATACCTATTTTGCAGAGGTTTTTTTTTTAAATCAAATGCAGATCAGTAAAATACTGTGCATTCCACAAGCAGCAGCAGTTGCAGGAACTTATTTAGGAGATGATGTTGCATGGTGTATAAGGTTACAAATCTGGAAGCTGCCAATTAAAAAATAATCCTGCCGCAGAGTCACTCGCAACTCACCAACACTAGCGATCCTTTACAAATCTATTCAGAAGTAATCCCATTGTGTTCCATGGGGATTGCTTTCCAGCAGCACTCATAAGGTAGCACTATAGATGTAATATGGCAAGACAATCTGTCAACCTTGGTGTGATAGGTGGATGATAGTACTTTCCTATAGGGTTACACTATATATACCGTAATGTATATGAAGAATTTCATACACGCAAAAGCACTAACGTGTAGTGTTTATTAAGAATACATATAAATGTGGAAGCACCAGACTGTGTCAGACACATTTTATAAAGCAGGAGTGTGAATGGCTTCTTTTTTGCATGAATGTTTTTCTGGGTTTTTGGAATGGTGCTTGGCTTAATTTTTTTCCCCCACAGCAATCAGCAGGAGTTAGAAGTATTCTAATTTTGGCTGGACCATATTCCAAGTCCATAACTATTTGCTGATGAAGATATAAGGCAAATTGTGCAGTCAGTCTTCTTTCCAACAACTCCATAAAGAAAAAACCTAAACCCATGTTTAGGTTAGAGTGAAAGTCTAGGAATGTTTGACAAGAATGTGGCACTTACATTTTTTAAATGTTATTTCATGAATGCCTTTAGAGACATGAAATGACTTGTGCTTAGTTTTTCACTAATGGTAATAGTGTATTGGAAAGAGAAACCTTTGGCTGTGTTCGGATGTATTACTAAACCATGGTTTATCATTATGAGGATGAGGCTAGAATTCCTCCAGTCTCATGTGCAGCCCCATGGAAGAAACTAAAAGCTTCTGCTTCTGTTTTAATTAGTGTGTCATCCAAAAGTGGTTAATCCTAACTATGGTTAGTAGAAAAAAAGCCAGTATCGTGAATGGTGGTTTCAAGTTGGCTTGTTTTCATTAACTGTAGTTAAGATTAATCACAGTTTGTCAGAGCGGTTTGCAGCTGCTCCAGGGGAGGAGAGGAAGTCCATGAGATAAGGGGAAGCGAAGATAATTCTTGTAATGCCACTCGTGGTTAAGTGTTATTTCCAAGCCAAGTTTTAAGGATGGACAAGCCTGATGCAAATTCTATTCTTGTCTTTTGATGGAGTAATATTTAGTATACTTGTCTCCGCACTTGGATAGGTGAAAGAACTTTGTGGACTGTGTAGAAGTCACTGACCTTGTGCAGAGTGCCTCTGCTCCCCAACTAAGGTTTTCTTCTTGTCGCTTTATCTTGGGTACATTCCTTAGTGTCTTGCCATACCTTATAAGTTTTGTTATTATAGCTATTATATAAATATATTAATTTACAGCATGCCCAGTATGTTTATTTTAGGTTTACTGATTTCAGTGGGAGAGAGTTGTACATATGCTACTATCCTATTGAATCTAAAGGGATTTAAGAGAGGTTGACTTCAGTTTGGCTGTGCCCAAATTATCATTTGTTACCAAAGCTATGGCAAATCTAGACAGCATACTAAAAAGCAGAGACATCACCCTGCCGACAAAAGTGCGTATAGTCAAGGCTATGGTTTTCCCAGTGGCAATGTATGGCTGTGAAAGCTGGACCATAAGGAAGGCTGAGCATCAAAGGATTGAGGCCTTTGAATTGTGGTGCTGGAGGAGACTCCTGCGAGTCCCTTGGACCGCAAGGAGATCAAACCGGTCAGTCCTAGAGGAAATCAAACCTGACTGCTCTTCAGAAGGCCAGATCCTGAAGATGAAACTCAAATACTTTGGCCACCTAATGAGAACGAAGGACTTCCTGGAGAAGAGCCTAATGCTGGGAACAAGAGATGGCAAAAGAAGAAGGGGACGGCAGAGGATGAGGTGGCTGGATGGAGTCACTGAAGCAGTTGGTGTGAGCTTGAGTGGACTCCGGGGGATGGTGGAGGACAGGAGGGCCTGGAGGAATGTTGTCCATGGGGTCACAATGGGTTGGACACAACTTCGCGACTAACAACAACAACAAGTATAAGAAGGCAAATTAAAGGGCATGTGGTTTATGTAATTCTAATGGAAGTATTTGCTATTTTTTTCACAATAATAAGCTGATATTTTGACTGCTGTGGATATATATATCTCAGTCTAATGATACATTCACGGTAACGTATGCATGGAAACCATTTCTGGTTTGGCACACTGTCATTTGGAATGACAGCTATTTTAGACTGCTACTGATATCACACAATTTTTCCATCTAAAACAGCAACATGAGGTTAATGGAGAGAGCTGGTCTGGCGTAGTGGCTAAAGGGCTGGTCATGGGCCAAGGATCTTTGGAATCCGCTCCCTTGATGCAGCTGTCAATGATTTGGATGCCATCTCTCAGTTTTTCAGGATAACCCTGAGCTTCTTAGAGGGAATGTGGGATAAATGCGATCAAGAACAGGAAAATGTGTTCCCTGTTGGTTCACTTTTTAAAGAAGCCAGTGGATAATTCTGTTGACCTGATCTTGTTTTAGAGTATGAAGGATCTGGAACTGAAGTCAATAGAAAACATTCCAAGTGTGGGGTTTGCAAATACAGAGCTGAGTGTGATGAAGATGCTGAAAATGTTGGGTAAGTCCCACCTAAAATCAGTCTTCCTTCTGTTGGTGTTTCCGAAAGACAGGAACTGATCTCAGCTTTGACCTTCCTGGTGGACTGCAGGAGCCTTAGGGGATGGCCCATTGGGACCACAGCCTGGACCAAAGATGTGGATCAGAGATTCAAAGCCCTGAATCTCTGGGTCTCTGCCACCTGTCCTATCTCAGGTTGCTGTCCCTGAGAGAAAGAGACCAGGCCCTGAGGACCTCTGTTGTGGCTGATCTCCATGGATTCCTGCCATTTTGCTCACCTGTACTTCACCTCCTGCTGGCCCTTAGAGGATCTCTCAATGACCGCATGCACAGTTTGCATTATTTTTGTCCGGAGCCCTGGATGTTTTCCGTAACTAGCACCTCATGTGGTATATCCCGGCCTGTGTTCTGTAGCCGAAGAAGGCCAGTTCAGTGGGAACAATGGCCACAGTGAGGGATCAGTCTCCAGCATTCCCTCATGGAAAGCCAGTGAGCTGGCCCAAGCTCTGAACTTACTATAAGCCTTTGGATCCTCTTATATTGGCAAGCACGGAAAAGATTAAGCTGCAGTTCTTGAAAGTGTAGGATAGGAAATCAGAAAAAGAGCACCATTTCATCATGTGAACTGTTGTATGTGTGTCCATTGTGATATCTTGCCTAGCATACTTTTAGGTCCACATGTAGCTGGACAGCCATCTGAGTGGGATGGTGTAACATGGTGTTCAGCAACCGCAGGGGGTTGGACTCGACGGCCTTCACGGCCCCTTCCAACTCTTCCATTCTATGATTCTATGTTTAGTGGCCATTTGACTTTTGTCGCCTGCAAAAACAGCAAAGAGTCTTCAGACCTGTTCAAGACAAAACAGACTTAGTCTGGCAGGAGCGTTCCTGGGTTATACCAAACTTCATGGAGCTGTATGGAAAGACAGGAAAAAAATCTGGTTTATGTGTATATACGATGGGTGACCCATTTCATGAACTGTGTTGGTTTCAGTTTGGTTTCTTCTCATCACACACACACCATTCCCACATGATCTTTACAGAATGTTGAGGAAATACCTGCCAATTTTAGCACGGGTATATGGGGTGAGGCAGTTGTGCAGAAATGGGCTGTTTGGGAAGGCCCAGACGGGACCGGGAGACCTCCCAGCAAGCAGAGTTGTTGGCACGGATGCCGTTCAAGCCACTGTTTGGAAAGGAGAAGCTGGAGCAGGGGAAGTTGCTGGTGACGGACACCAGGCATGTTGCAAGCAAGCCAGCGCTGCCGGTATCTGGACCGCAACGCAGACCTTGCCAACTCCATCCGCACAGTCCTGGGACATTGTAATTGGGGGAAAGCATCCGCTGGTGGCAGACAGACTCTCCTCTTGACGCATCCTCTCTCTCTCAGCTCACCTGTTCTGGGCCCCAGTTCAAGTGGCACTTTCCTTCCTCTCTACCAGACGTAACTGGTTTCAGATATGAGAAGTGAAGTATAACGGGGCAGTTCCAGAACTGCATTCAGTGGATTCTGTTTGCATTCATAGAAGGGAACTGGGAGGCAGTCTTTCTCCCCTTCCCGGGCCTTCTGGGAAACAGCACAGCAAGTACCAGCGGGGCTGCAGGAGGGAGGAAGCAAAAGGCAAAGATCACCTTCTGAGCCCCTTCCTCCAGCGGGAAGCCGCTGAGGGATAACGGCGTCTCCCCTCAACCGAAGGAGCCCTTGGTGTTCATGAAAGGTCCAGTCTGCATCCAACCCATTGTCTGCAAACCCCCTGATGAAAGTCAGGTTTTCTAGTCTGTGCTTGACCGAAGGGGGATAGAAGCCTCGCTGTTTTACTGTGCCCTTGCAAAAGCTCCAAGGCTGGAGGTTGGAATTAAACGCTTAGAGAATCAAAAGACAAAGACCTGAATTTCACACCAGCTGCCCACCTGTCTTTAGGGAATGCCAAGTTTTCCCACAGAGTATCAAAGCATAAGCCGCTATGATGGAGTCACCCCAGTTGGGCATTTTGGGAAAAAATAGCTTAACAAAAGATTGCACACTTACATTTTTCACCCCTAGCGGTCTTCTTTAATTAGACTGTCAGAGTTTCCATAGCACATTATATTCAGTACAGATATATAAACAACTTTATCACTTCTATTATCTCTGCAGATCTTTTGTGTGCATGGTGCTTTATTTTAATTTTTATTGGGCTGATTAAGAGACAGAAGTGAATTTTGAGCAGGTGGTTGTCATGAGCTACACAGCATGGTTGGAAAATTAACATTCAGATAGATTCAGATTAGGACTCTTCGTGAAGTTTCTGCATATAAATATGTGAGCGAATCATGCTGAGAAAATATAACTAAAATATAATTCATCCCTGGTTTCCTATTTCCCGTAGAAATAAATAACAGATAATATAGCTTCTGGGAGAAAGGAATGGGCTTATATAAAGACTCCCAAATACCCAGAAGCATTATAGAAGGCACAGAGACGATCAGGTTGCGACATCTTAATAATGTGGATTTCTGTACGGCAAATCTGTGTCACTCTTTTCAGTTATAAGGACACGAGAAGAGCCATGTGTGGCCCATTTAGTCCAGCCTTCAGCTCAGACGGTGACCAGCCAGCCAGCCTGCCTGTAGGAACCCACAACTGAGACACGGGTACAATAACTTTCTCCTGGTAACTAGTATACCTGACTACTCAGCATGTAGCCATCATGATTAGTATCCAGGGGTACTCTTATCTCCATGAATTTGGCTACTTCCCTTTCAGAGTCATGCAGATAGCGACAGTTGTGAGAGCCAATTCCATCGCTAGGGTGAGAATCCTATAAGAGATGCAGAAATCCTATAAGTACATGAGGCTGGTTGCACTTAGAAGGCAAACCTGCATGTGTTTGCCAAGAAATCCTGTTGTGTCTAGAGGAGTGTGAATGTGGTAAGGATTACAGACCCAGATTGGGGTTAAACAGAAAGCTTGCTAGCCCAGTCCCCAGACAACAGCTTCCTTTCCGCAGGTGGCATCCTTTGCACAATTCAAACTGCTGCATGGATCATAACCGGGTAGCTTTTTCCGCAGGTACACTGTGGTCCTGATTTATAGACAGCATATCCTTGGATTTCTTTGGTGTAATCTAATCAGGAAAACAGGGAAGTGAACTCAGGAGAGAAACATTGCCACCAGAGCTCCAGAAATCCACTCTCCCTGACCATAATTTGACCTCATGTGCTTGGGTCAGTTGCTTCTTTTATAGTTGCCCATTTCAGCGCTCATTCTCACATGCTCATTTCCCCACTACTCTCTACCAGCTGCTTCCCCCCGTCCCATGTTCCACTTCTGAAGTTCTGTCTCAAACGCTGTAGCAGATGAGTGTCAGAAGGAAGAAAAATCCCAGATAGCACAATCCTATAACCTTACAACATCCTCTGGGGGAACCATGGAATTCTTTGTGGTCCCAGCTGTAAGCACGTTCAGAGGTTTGCAACCTCTCCAATGGTTGTTTCCCATATTATGTTCCTAGTGGGATAAAATAATGACTTGGATGCAGCCATTAATAATGGCTTAAATATTAGTAGTATTATTACTAACTGTTCAAGTAGATCTCTTGAAATCTGGGAGATTTAATCTAGGCATGCTATTGCTTTCAGTGGGTCTGCTGAAAAATGGCAAGTTTGGATCTAATAAAATATATCAGACAAGAGCGTTTAGCCTCATTTCTTCTGGTGTCAAAAGAGACAGCTGTTCCCCCTCAGCACTCTTGTCTCACTGCTGGACGGAAGACTGAAGCAAGCATGGGCCAGGAATGTTCCCTTCTAGCTTCTGGTGGGAAGGCCAGATGTCCAGCTAGCTGATGTTTCTTGCATCCTAAAGGCTCATTACTTGCCACAGATCCCAAAGTGGAATACGTCAGTCCTGGTCTATCTGGAATAAAGGCAATTCAAAACATTTTTTAAAATAAAAAATGAAAAGAAGTTAAAAATGTGGGCCTAGTGTTGTGAATGAGTCTTTTCCCTTCTTCTCTTGGTTTGAAAATCTGAAGACAATCCTTGGCAATGCAGGCAATGTTGTAACTCCACAGTGGGCAGAACGTCTCAGCTCGTAAATAGCCTCTTATTTGGAGCTGGAGGAGGAGCTGGAGCTGGAGGAGGAGTCGCTGCTCATGTAGAGAGCTGAATCCAAACTGGAAACTTCCCCTTCAGCAAAGCCGCTGGCTCCATTCTCAGGGAGCCCTTGCAGCTGAAAAGCAAGACGGAGGGAGGGAGCCCAGTCAGCGGAGAAACGTGTCTCTTCCAGCGACTCCTTATGAGGTCAAGGCCTGGGTCTATACCCTCCTGAAGACCATTGCATGTCCTCCAAACCAGGGTGACTCTCACTGAGCATCCATGTTGGAACTTCAAAGCATTCAGGCCCAGCTTGCTCCTCCCTCCAATTCGGAACCTGATGAGGATGAGGGAGAGATGGCCCAATCTCTGCCCATCGGTCGTGCCCGGTCGTTCCGCTTTTTGAACATTCAACAGGAGAGCTGACTGAGAGGTCACCTGCACTGAGCCCTCCCTGCCAGAAGTGGAGCTGGTCTACTCGTTAACAACAGAGCCTTTAAATGGATAGGAATGGATCCGTCCAGGGATGCTCCCTCAAAATCCAGCCTCTTAGCAAGAACAGGTGCTAACCCTCCAACAGGAGGTTCATACTAGGGAAACCAATTCCCTACTCAGCCATTTCCCTGTTGTCATAGCCTAGATAAGCACCCCTTGTAATTTTCCAAGCACACCCTAAATGTGCCAAATGTATTGAATTTGTTATTTTTCGGGTGCATGGAGAATTCCTTAAGTATGATTAATATTATTACAAGAACCATGAAGATAATGATTTGGATTTTTATTGCTGAAACAAAAGCCACTTGATACAGATTTGCTAAAACCTCACAGGAGCTTAAGGGCCACTGAGATTTGCTTTGCGTTTTGCATCTGTATTTCAGAGGCCAGCTGTGCCGAGGATAACGGGATTTCCACATTCCCACAGGTGGT